AGTGTATCACAGAGCTCTACAGCAATAATGCTCACAGTTATGTGTCTTTAAACTACAATACATGTGTTTTGAAACCAGTCTTTGTAAATAAGATAGATTGTTATTATAAATTATTAGTAAGTCAGCTAATACAGAGCCTGCCCCTGGCTACACCCACACTCACAATTAAAGTGCCCTTCTTTGTCCATGTGAAATGTTTGGAGGTATGCAAAAGAGCCCACTCCAGGTACCACGCAATCACAATCAAAAGATTGCTTCACCTCCTGCAGCACCTTACCTGAATGGTCAATTTTCAGCAGGTTTACTATTTATATGAACATACCCTTCACTTCTCAATAAATCCCTTCCTAGTCCTAACCATCCCACAAATACCCCCATCTTCAAGTCCCTTACACCCATACAGCAAATCCACTCAGCTCCTAGTACTTGCACCCACCAGCACATGCCCCTTCCTTCAGTCATCTACACCTACAGTTGTAATCAAAATTATTCAACCCCCATTGCAAATCTTGTTTATTGTCAACATTTACAGACTTTCGGCTGTTTGCAGTGAACAAATCTAACAAAAACAATTTAAGTAGCTAAACTCAATTAATGCTTCAAGTGGTTTCTACAAATTCAACTGAAAATGCAACTAATAATCACTTTTCCAGTTTCAAATGTTTTAAGTTAATCCCTCACAACAGTACAAATATAGAAACATAGAAACATAGAATGTGACGGCAGATGAGAACTTTCCGCAAATCTAGTCTGCCCAATTTTCCAAATACTTTCATTAGACCCTGGCCTTATCTTAAGTCTACGATAATATGCAAAACAGGTGTTGTCTCAAGCATACCTTATGCAATCAAGGGCTTCATTAGTAGCTGAACTGGCTAGGGGTTTGTTGGTGTGTCATATTTGACTGCATGTTAGAAATTAGACATTTGCAATTCGGTCCGAATGTGAATTCGGATTAATTTCGGGCAATTCGGACATTTGGATGCTTACAAATGTCCGAATTGCCAAAGTTCTGAATGGCTGAAGTCCCGAATTTCAGAAGCGCCGAACCGAAGAGCCAAAGTCCCGAAATGCCAATTTTTTTTTCTTACCCGAATTTCCGAACTGAACCAAATTTTTGGATCATGCACATCCCTATTAGAAATATGGCTAAATCAAAAGAATGTTCCACAAAGTTAAGAGAATAGTTCATCGCCCTTCACAAACAAGAAACAGGATACAAAAAGATAGCAAAGGCACTGCTTTCTCCTAGAAACAGTACTGGAAGCATAGTTTGCGAGTTCAAAGTTGAAGGAACAATGGTAACACTACCTGGATGGGGCAGAAAAAGGAAGCTATGAATAACTTCAACCAGATTTCTGAGAAAGCAGGTTGTGAAAAAACACATGATTTTGATTAAAATAAGTATTTTTTGACTACCTATCTGCCCGTGGTTAGTCCTCTTACTTTTATTTGTTGCTGTTTTATCCTGGCTGATTTTTTATTATTTTAAAGATCCAGTACTACAAAAGAAATTCTAGGTGGGGATTATTCCACTCACGCCTGGTTCATAGAGCAGTGTGGCTGCTCTATACACTGTAAGTACATTTCATTTTATCTTTTACTTTTATTTTATCTACTGAGAACACTATGGGTCCTCTTTTGTGACTTTATTTTCATAAGACCTGCACTGCAAATATCGCTAGAAGAATATCCTACATGTGGGGAGTTTAAATACCATTGTATGCTGTTTTACTCAGAGCTGGTGATAGCTCTCCCAATTGTAAGTTGGCACTCTTAGGACCTCAGTGTTGTTTGTAGTTGTAGGTGACATACGTTATTGTACCATTGGGTTTTTCCCTTATTTTTATGTATTTTATATGCTGACGTGTATCTGAGACGCTGCGAGAAGTATTGAAGAAACACCTCCTATTGTCCAGCTATATCCTACATGTGGGGAGTTTCAAATACCACTGTATGCTGTTTTACCTAGAGCTGGGCATAGCTCTTTAAATTGTGAGTTGGCACTTCTCTATTTCTATGTTGTCCGTGACACCATTTCCTAATGGTTTTGCACTATTGGTCCCTTCCTGTTTCTGCTTTTGTATTTCATATTAACTACTGAGGACCCAAAGCAAGAACCAAAGAATACCTATCCAAGGTCCAGATTGCATTTTCAGAGACTTTTGTACTTCCTTGTTTCTGTGTATATTATCTTTCATTGTTCTACTTAGCGCACCCTGTATTTGCTGTTTCCTGTTCTCCCAGATTTGTTGAAGGGTTTGAGGGTTGCCCTTCCCCCTCAGGTGTGCAGCTCCATTCCCCCTTGTGATCAGTACTGTAGCACTGTTCCACCCCATTTTCTCTTTTGTGAAAAACCATTGAGTGACTGCAAAAGACCTGCAGCAAGACATGGTGGCAAAAGGCACTGAGGTTTCACTGAGCACAGTAAATCACATTAGGTTTTCATGCCAGAACTTCAAGATGTACACCACTTCTGACCCAAATGCACAAGAAAAGTCAGCTCCATTATGCTCAAAATCATATATATAAGCCACAGAGGTTTTGGGATTCTATTCTGTGGAGTGATGAAGCAAAACTGGAACTGTTCGGCCCAATGGATCAGTGGTATGTGAGGAGGAAGAAGATTGAAGCATACTCTAAACAGAGCACTGCCTACAGTTAAGTATGTTGGTGGCTCTTTGATACTCTGGTGCTGATTTGCATGTTCTGGCACTGGAAACATACAGTGTGTGGAAGGCATGATGGATTCATTGAAGAATCAGGAAATTCTAAGAGAAAATGTCACGCCTTCTGAAAGGAAGCTGAATATTGGGCGTCATTGTACCTTCCACCAAAACAATCATCTAAAGCATCCCTCAAATTCCCCAAAGGCTTGGTTACAGAAGAAGTCCTGGGAAATTCTACGGTGGTCATCAAAGTCACCTGACTTGAACCCCATAGAAAATATCTGGTGGAATTTTAAAGAAGGCAGTTGCAGAACACAAAAGTATTTAAAGGTGCTTGCCATAGATGAGTTTAATAATTTTGAGACTGGAGAAGTTTTTATAAGTTGCATTTTCAGCTGAATTTGGGAAACCACTTGAAGAATAAGTTGTGTTGAGCTATTTCAAATGCTTTTGTTTGGTTTGTTCATTGCAAGCAGCTGAAAGTCTGTACATTTTGACAATAAATATGCTGAATCGCTCCCTGCACAGTCCTATTACCTGCTTCATAGCCTGAGCACATTTAGTGGGACTTCAGGTAATGCGGGACATGAGAAAACCAAAGTGGAGTAGTGGGACAGGACCCCAAAATCTGGACTGTTTTGCTAAAATTGGGACTGTTGGGAGGCTTGTTTTAGTGTAAATTTTGGATAACATTGTTTTTTTAGCATTAATTTTCAGTATGACAATGGGAGCCTTTCAAGCTGAAAGGACCACTATAGGCACCCAGACCACTTCAGCTTAATGAAGTGGTCTGGGTGCCTGGTCCAGCTAGGGTTAACCCTTTTTTCTATAAACATAGCAGTTTTAGAGAAACTGCTATGTTTATAAATGGGTTAATCCAGCCTCTAGTGGCTGTCTCATTGACAGCCGCTAGAGGGCTTCCGCGCTTCTCATTGTGAATGCTTTCCTATGGACTGGCTGAATGCGTGCGCGGCTCCTGCCGCGCATGCGCATTCAGCCGAGGAGGAGGAGAGAAGGAAGAGAGCTCCCCGCCTGGCGCTGGAGAAAGAGGTAAGTTTAACCCCTTCCTCCCCCCCCCAGAGCCCAGCGGGAGTGGGACCCTGAGGGTGGGGGCACACTCAGGGCACTATAGTGCCAGGAAAACGAGTATGTTTTCTTGGCACTATAGTGGTCCTTTAAAATATGAGTATTCAAAGAAATCAAAGTAAAATTTAGAGGGTAGATCTTAAGAAGTTCCAGCAAAAATATAAGATAACTTTATCATGTGAGCTCACAGCTAAAGTGAGACACACAATACCTAAATTTTTCAAACATTGAAAACCATGAAAAGAATATATCTCTGATCGACCCTGAGTGGGTCTGTGAGATCTTGGAGATAGATATGCATAGTGGCACAAAATATTTTTTCTTTCTCTTTTTCTCTTTCTTTTCATGTTTCTTGTTTACATTTTTAATTAATTAATTACACATTTTAGAGGTCCAATTTATTGATGAAGATTTTGACATATAAACTTTTATAGATATTAACTGAAATCCTGTAAGGTTCACTGATATTTAAAATATATTGTATATATAAAACACTTTTAAACAAATGTATCACAAGTCCTGAAAGACTCTCATCTTCTTGTTGTTTACTCTGACATCCTCTTTACGTGTAATATAAACAAAGAATTCAATTTTTTTTTAACTACAAGCACCATGGCCACTTCATGGTATAAGGACACTATACATGCAGCGTTTCAGTATGCCTCGTCAACACCAGGTAAAGGACATTGCAAGAAAGATCTTTAAGGACCTCAACTGACATCAGATTAAGTACAGCTATAGTAAGTCCAAATATACTGCAGTTGTAAAAATCCAAACTGGTGAAGTTGATCTATTATTTAATGAAATAGGAAATGGTTTACTTGAATATATGCAATTCTTCCTTCAGGCTACATTTACATCTGAGAGAGGGTCACACACTGTAGGAACAATGATGTTTTAGAAATCTATCTTACTTATTGATTTTATTTAAATCTAAATTTATACAAGCTGAAACCAAGCTGGGCTTGGAATATAAATTATCACTCTATCAGCATAGCATAGGATCAGTGCAGACTTTAAAAGGTTAATGCATGTACCCACATATAAACACCTGAGCTTCTTCTCAGCTATTATTTACAAAATGTTTTTTCAATATAATCATATAGAGAACATTTTTATATGCCCTAACATTCTGTTTTCCCAACTCTTGTATCAATGTTTTGATGCAAGAGTTCTGAAAATAGAACATTAGGGCACATAAAATGTTCTCTAAGGGGGACCTGGCCTGGTGCTCGGACAAGATGGATGCCTAATAACGTAGCTCCCTCCACCAGGTCCCAAAAATACCAAATTATAACGCGATCTAGGGTCCTAATTGGTCGAATTAAGAAAGCAGTTACTCCCCATCCGTCCTGGCACCCAATATCAGCAGCTCGATCCAGACCAATTGACAATTATCAGTCCTCCCCTGCTGCCCTCACGGATGCTGCAGGCCCCCGATACATGGCCTCCCGACACATGGAGATGACACTGTCCCAGAAGCCCAGAAGCCCGGGAAACTTGGAAGCAGATGAAGGGGACTCACCTTCCACGATAGAGCTGATTAGGAGGGACCTCTGGGCCATCTCCTCATTCATGTTCAAGAAAACGGATGCAGATGCCAATGAGGCGTCCTTGAAGCACACAATTTGGGCGAGTGTGCTGCCATCCGCCAAGATGTCTCGACACTCCAGGAACAGGTCACGGAACTGGAATCTGCCACCGAACGCTCCAACATCCAACATGGTGCTGCTGAAGTGGTGGCTACAAGGCAGGAGGCAAGTTGAAGACCTTGACAATAGGAGCCGTCAAGGTAACATCAGGATCCATGGCCTTCCAGAGGATACCCTGACAGAGCCTCTGGAGTCAGCTTTGCAGGCCCTGTTCAACTCCATTCTGGGGAATGATACCAAGAGCATCCAGTTGGACAGGGCTCACCGGGTATTCTGCAAACAGCGACAGATTGAGAACGCAGAGACATGGTTTGCTCAGTCCACTCCTTCAGTCAAAATGAGCGGATAATGAACCGGGCACGTGAGCGTCAAACCTGGCTATACCAGAATGCAGAAGTCAGCTTATATGAGGATCTGTCCCCCTGACATTGAAGGCCCGAAGAGCACTAAGACCCGTAACCAATTTACTGAGAGAACCCAAAATCTTCTACCCCTGGGAATTCTCTTTCAGCCACGCACCCATCAACAAAGTGGCGAGCCCAGACGAGGACAAACCCAAAAGCTACGCTCAAGCGAAGGACCTTATTTATGATGTTTTAGCTTTATTTTGGGGCTTCTTTCAGTGAGTTATTGCGGTTTGCTAGGGATACCCTTGTCCCGCTATATTGTAAGACCTCCGTAAGTAAATTACCCTCCGGACGTTCCCCCCTGCACAACCTCACCAACCTCACACCAAGCGCAGTTCAAAGGCGGTCAAACAACCCCACTCACATAGAACCACAGCTCGCCACAAAAAGGTGCGCATAGGCACCGCTCTAGCTAATGAGCGGACATTCCCCCAAGAGTATACAGAATAGATAGATACAAAACGCCCTTGCTGAACAACTTTGGGAACATCGGTGATTAAAGGTGAACATAGAGGGTTTTCCAGATACGCAGTCGGGAAGGGTAATGTCCTATGATGGCCAACCCAAGCACCTACACACATCGAGGGGCAGTTGCACCTCAGGAAGCAGAGATGGATCAATCCCCATGCGTCCCTCATGGGGCAATTGCTCATTGTTAGTCCAGGGCCTTGGATTCCAAGGGTGTCCCCACCCCCACCAAAAAGAGCTCTGGCATCGATGGGGTAATACTGACTGGGTTAGGGTAGACACTTATTTAGGGGGCCACTTAGCACCAACCTGACTTGAAATATTAATAGAAGGCATGGGGGAATGGGTCTTCGCCCACGCAAAAACATAGCTAAAGCCCAGTACAATGACAGGACCCTAGACCCACCCCTATCAAGGGCTGACTCAGATTCTAGAGACAAGGGCATACCTGAGCCACAATTAACCCCCTGACGTACAAACCAACCAAGCAAGCAACCCCAACTGGTCACAGGATTTATCAATTCGGCTAACCCCTACAATCAGTGGCGTTCCTACCACGGTCACAGGGGTCGCAACTGCGACCGGGCCCTCACTCCAGGGGGCCCGGCTGCAGCCATGACCCCTGCGATTGTGGGCCACCTGGATATCTCCCGGGTGTCTGACAGGAGGGAAGAGCTGTGCTGCTGCCCTCCTGCCTGTGTGTAGCATGGCTGAGCAGTCGGTCAGGAAGTGCTCACTAAGAGCACTCCTGTCATAGGGGGGCCCAAGAGGTGGCCTACTGGCCACATAATGGACGCCTCCAGTGGGCGGCTGTGTTCCTGGTGGAGACGGCGAGGGAGCTGTGTTTTCCATGGTCTGCTCCCTTGCACACCGTTTGCTGATACCGGGAGCCGGAATATGACATCATATTCCAGCTCCCGGCATTAGTAGACAGCCCAGCCAACATCTCTCCCTCACCGCCTCTGCCAGAAACACAGCCGCCCGCTTTACTGAAGCCCCACTGGACCCCAGGGACAGATCCCCGCCAGCTCTCCAGGTAGGGAGGCTGTGTGTGTCTGTGAGTGTATGTGTGTGTGTGTGTGTGTCTGTGAGTGTATGTGTGTGAGTGTGTGTGTGTGTGTCTATGAGTGTATGTGTGTCTGTCTGTCTGTGAGTGCATGTGTCTGAGTGTGTGAGTGTGTGTGTCTGTGTGTCTGTGAGTGTGTCTATGAGTGTGTGTCTGAGTGTGTGTGTCTGAATGTGTGAGTGTGTCTGAGTGTGTATGTCTTTGAGTGTATGTGTATATGCGTGTATGTCTGTGTCTGTTAGTGCATGTGGGTGTGTCTGTGTGTGTCTCTACATGTCTGTGTGTGTGTATGTATGTGTGTCTGTATGAATGGGTCTCTGTGTGTATGTGTGTGTATGTGTGTTTGTATTTATGTGTGTATGTATGTGTTTGTCTACATGTATGTGTGCCAGTATGCGGGGACCCTGGGCAATTTTTGTACCAGGGCCCCGTGGTTTCTAGTTATGCCTCTGCCTACAGTAATAATGCAGGAAAAGACAGGACAGGGCGACACTGACACTGCCCCTAACCGGACGTAGTGACATGGGGGAGGGACCCGGGCTCGCCGGTAGTTCACAGAGGGGTTAGAGTGGACTAATACAGTCACTATAATAATGCATGACCCACTGGACTCAGGTTTCTTCCGCATAAAGGGACGTCAGAAGTGGGGGGGCTCAATACAATGATTGGTTCTAGAAGAAGGAGAAAACAGGAATGACTCCAACCACTATCAATAGTTTCACTCCCGGACTAAACGCCCTAGGAGGTGCCATCGTATCTTAATTCGAACACTCTGCACGGAGATCACAGGGTGTTCCACTCCTAACAGAGGGGAACCCCTTGACTCATGAGCAGACCTGTGAAGCTGAGCAAGTGCACACAACACCTGTCATACATACTATTTCCCTCTTCTTGCTAACCCTTTCTCTACATATCGGACTTATCCAACTTCCACCTTCTGGCATCCTAAGAGTTCCTTCAAACACCTTATCAGAACCCCCACTTTTTTTTCTTCTCTCCCTCCATTCAACCCTCCATCCCCTCCCCCCCACCCTATACACACCAACGCCCACCACAAGGAGAGCGATGAAGAGACAACCGGCGTTTACACCTGATCCACTGAAGGTACATATGTTTAACGTCAGAGGCCTAAATGTGCTGGAACAAAGATTCCAGCTCCTACAGGAGCTTTGGGCACTCAGGATCTCAGTCACCATGATCCAAGAAATCCATTTCAAACAGGATAGGGAACCTCCACTACGAAACCAAAGGTATCCCAGTGTTTACTTCGCCTTACATGAATCAAACAGGAAAGCAGGAGTGGCAATTCTCTTCTCCCACCTGACTCCCTTTGTCCCAATAGACCAGTGGAAAGACCCTATGGGCCGCTTCCTATTCTTGAAGGGGCACATCGCTACGCTATACGCGCCAAACTCCAAACAACATTTTTTTCTACAGTCAACATAGCAACAGCTGGGGGAATTCAGCAAGGGGGTACTGGTACTGGGCGGTGACTTCAACATGCCAATGGATCCCGCAATAAATATGTTACAAGGCCACAGCACGATCCTGTACCGACGCATGTGCCTAGTCAGGAAGGCGCTACAGACATTAGACCTGGTAGACTGCTGGAGGACTTTGAACCCTGAAAGCAGAGACTACACTCTAGGATTGACTATTTGTTCCTCACTCAATCCTACCTGACCGGCATACAGGGTTCCCATGTGGGAAATGTTACGTGGTCAGATCACGGCCCCGTAAACATAAGCATGATGTCACCCATGTTCAAACCCAGAGAAAGGACATTGTGAGTTAATGACTTGTTGCTCCTATAGGAAGAGGTGGTTTTGGCCATCAATGAAACACTTACCCAATACCTTGAAGATAATGTCACCCCTGAGACACCCCCAACAGTAACCTGGGAGGCACATAAGAGTTTGATCAGAGGGAAAGTCGTTGCAATATGCGCACATCGTAAGAGGGCAAGGTCAGAGAAACTCAGATCATTGCTGACACAGATCCCGGCATTAGAACTGAGATACAAACAATCCTTGGCAGATAAGGACTTTATAACCCTGCTCGAAGCCTGGAAAAACACCAACATGCGCTACAAAAGTCCCGATGTTTTTTCTGGGAGCACTCCAACAAATGCGGGCGTCTACTAGCGAAAATGTTGAAGAAAAGACAAAAAAGTTGGAAAGAAAGGCGTGAACCCCCACCGGACCACAGAACACCCAAAGGAGATGGCAAAGGCCCTCCACAAATATTATCCGGCACTGTACAATATTCAGAAGACCATGAACCTACGGGATGACGCTGCCCGCCTAGCCGACATGAATAACTATCTCTCCATCCATGTCAAGAAGCAAATATCAACGGAGGCGTGGGATACCCTAGATGCAGAGATCACACAGGAAGAATTTCACGTGGCCATCAAAACATCCAAAACAGGAAGGGCACCAGGCCCTAATGGCTTCCCCCTGCGATTCTACAAGAAGTTCGGGGAAGTCCTCCTACCACACATGCTGAAATCCTTCAACTCATTGTTACAATGGGGTAAGTTGGGGATGGAGTGTCTCCTAGCGCACATCACCATTCTCCCATAGGAATGGAAAGATCCTGAACAATGTGCAAGCCAATTTCCCTACTAAACTGTGATTTCAAGCTGCTAGCTAAGGTCATTGCGGCGCGCATGAAACCAGTCCTAACATCACTGGTAAACCCAGATAAAAGTGGGTTCATTCCGGGCCGGGAAGCAAAGGATAATTCCATTTGTCTTCTAAACAAACTACACTTCACCGCCCCCTAGTCATACTCTCCACCGACGCAGAAAAGGCGTTCGACCGGGTGGATTGGAGATTCATGCTCCTCACTCTTTGGAACATGGGGTTCGGCGAGACATTCTGCCATTTGATCTGGGCTCTCTACTCTACACCCTCAGCATGTAAAAGTGTGAGTAAACTGAGAACTTTCAGCACCAGTACAGATCACTAATGGCACATGACAAGGGTGTCCACCCATATTATTCATGCTGACACTAGAGCCATTCTTGGAGGCAATCAGATTCAACCCCTCCATCAATGGCTTCCAATAAGCTGGAATGGTACACAAGATATCGACGTATGCGGACGACCTATTATTTTACGTGGAACAACCATTAATGTCACTCCCGAACATCATCAGTGAGTTTAGAAAGTACGGCTGACTCAGCATCTTCAAACTGAACTTCGATAAATCTGAGACCCTGAACATATCAGTCCCGGCAGGAATCCTGGAACGGCTAGCCGAGAGCTTCAAGTTCTGCTGGTGTGCAGACAGCATCAAATAACTAGGCATCTGGATCCCATGGGATCTATGCAGTTGTACCGACAGATAGCAAATAGATACGGGAAATTAAATCAGATGCTTGTGTAGTAAGGTTTGAAATCA